GGGCCGGGGCCGGGGCCGGGGTCGGGGCCGGGGCCGGGGCCGGGGCCGGGAGGTGGCGGGGATGGTGGAACCGGGCAGGGCCGCGGGCAGGGCTACGGGCGAGGCCACCACGTCGCACGCCCCTCCCGACGCTCGCTGATGCGGAGAGAGGGGCTCTCGCGCCGCCGCCTGCTCTCGGCCCAGTGGGACGCTGGGCTGTGCGAGGAGGGGGGGAGGTCGGCAATCCCTTCATCCTGCAACAAGGCCAGGTGAACACTGTTCGTGATGCTCCGGTGGCCTGCGGCCTGTGGCCTGTCACCGTTCACCGGGAGCGGCAGGGTAGGAGCCCCAGTGACACGGTGTCAGCTGCCGGCAAAGCCCCAGTGACACGGGGGTGGGAATATTGGATTTTCCCCCGAGCCGATTTGCGCACAGTGAGTCAAACGTCGCAGTTCCTTCAGCTTCCTTCAGTTTGATGCCGTTTCTTAGTCCATTCCTTGTCTCGCTTTGGTGCGGTGACCACAGTGCTGTGGATGGAAGGAGCCCCAAGCCCTGTGACCTCGCAGCCCAGATGCTGCTGCCGCTGCCTCACCATTTCTTTTTCCAGGCCCAAAACTCATGAGCCTCTCTCTTGCCAGCCTCCATTTTTTGGGGGATGTTTTCCTAATGATGGGGATCCCCTTAGGCCCCCAGCCCTGTTTAGCCTGCGGCCAGCACAAGACTGCTCGCACAGGCACTGCAGGCTCTCATCCAGGTGAGACATGGTCTGTGCTGCTGGCAGGTGTGGGCAGGGCACCTAGCCTGCTTCCCAAAACCACAGGTTTCTTCCCCAAGCGTTGCTGGGAGCCGCGGCGCAGCACCGTGGGTGAGTGCCAGAGCAGGCTGGGCGAGATGTATCCAGTCTCTATCACATCCCCTATACAGGCCTGTTGAATATATGCAGTGATTTTCCAGCTGGTGAGCAGAAAATGCCTCTATACGGAGCTGCCAATGGCGTATTCAAGAGAGCTGCTGGTTTTATTAGTTATTACTATTATTGTTTTGATGAGGAGGGTGGCAGGGCCAGCTGTCACCTCCCGCTCATAGCCTGCAGGTCTGTGGGTCAGATGCATCATGGAGCGGGAGTAGATCGACTTGGCACATGGCTCCCACCATCTGTGGGGGTAGCAAAGCCACTGATGGGCTGGTGCTGGGAGCATCCTCAAATGGGACGGGGTATATGACCTTCCCTGCCCATTACTGGCTGTTCCTGGAGATGCTGTGGCATGGAAAGCAGACAGCTTGCTGGGATCACCCACCCTGGCAGTGCTGAGTGGTCCCTGTTGGTGTCAGCATGGTTTGGAGCAGGCAGTGTGTTTATTGGCCCCATCACTGCCAGGACCGTGCTGAAATGCAGAAGAAGTGCCAAGATGCTGCCGTGAAGCTGAACAGGATTCGGCTGAGGGAGAGGAACCAGGTTTCCCTAATTTATAGCTGCCAGAGCACCACTGCGTGAGCAGCCTGTCCCAAACCCTGACCCCTTTTTGCTTGGCTTGGCCTCTAGTTTTCCTGTTAGATCCAGCTGCATTGGTATTGTTATCACTGCGGGATCATTGAGTTGTGCTGCCACAGGGACCAGCCTGCTCCAGTTACTGAGGTGGCACGCTCCAGGGTGGTTTTTCTGCCCAAGATAGCCAAAAAGCCAAAAGCACTGAGAAGGCGTGATGAGCGCGAGGAGGATGGGTGGCCAGTGGCAGAACGCGGCAGCCGGGTGACCCTGGTGCTGGAGGCAGTCCCGCAGCATCACTGCCGACGCTGTATTTGATTATTTTAAGAGAAGCACACCCGGCGCGATTTAAAGCAGCGATGATGCAGCTCCTGCCCAGGCTCCCCGTGGCCCCGGACGAGCCTTCCCCCGCCTGAGCTGCGCAGGGGCGGCTGGTGGCAGCCGCTCGCTCGCCCACGCACTGCCGGTGCCGGGCTGCGGCGCCGACACGGTTAAGGCACCGGCGGGATCGGGAGCCGGCTGCAGCCACCGGCGGAGCCAAACTTGCCGAGTCAGGATGTGAGAGCGGCAGGGAAGGCTCTGCAGCATCTTTGGGTGCTGTCGCATCCCGGGGCGCGGAGGGCTCGCCTTCCCCCTCTGCCAGACACCTTTTCCGGGGACTGAGCGGGAATGGGGTAGGAACCGTCATCCGCTGCGCTTGCCGCCGGCTGTAGCAGCTGCTCTGCGCCGGCACCGGCGCCGCTTCCCGAGACCCGCAGAGCCCGCAGCCCGGCGGCAGCCGGGTTAGACTCATTGCCTTGTGTCTCCCGACCGCTCATCGCCCTCCGTCCGAGCACCGGAGACAGGTAGGTGCGGTGCTGGGTGACGGCGGGGCAGCCGCCGCGGCGCAGCGGGGAACGGGCAGTGTCGCACACCAGGGACCCGCGGGCAGCCCGATGGACCCCGTTACTTTGGCTCTGGTGTACGTGACGGCAAAGCCGGAATAACCCCGGCCGACATGCCCCGTGTGCTTTTGGGCTGTGTCATTGACTCGGGCAGCTGAGCAGCGCCGGTGCCGGCGCTTCGGCGGTCACGGGCGACCTCACGTGTCGCAGCTGAGTCCCCAGCGCCCGCCTGCCGCGGTGTCGTGAGGATGGGCTGCGCAAGGCGCGGGAGCCCACCCGGCCGGTCGGAGGGGCTCGGTGGGCTGGGAGATGCTGCGCTGCAACAAAGAACAGAGGCTCCCGGGCCAAAGGAAGGGGCAGGGCTGCTGCTCTGCGGATCCCTGCGGCGCCGGTGCGGGGGGGGGGGGGGGGGGG